TAATTCATTTTAATTATATTTTTCTTTATACAGAGCTTAATTAAACAGTGTTCTGCTCCTTGCTAGAATATCAGGTCATCCCTTAAAAAGAAAAATGAAAAGAAAAAAGAAGCTGCTGACAGGGAACTGATGTTTCAGGCAGGCTGTATCCATTGGTCTTACTTTTAATGTTTCACAAGAATTAAAAAAAAATTTTTTTTTCATGAGGGTGAGAAAGAGACAGAGAAGCACTCTCAATAGGTTCCCACCTACAACCCCCCCCCACCACCACCACCGAGTACCGCCCCGGCAGACCAAGATCATGGCTACACACACCCAGCATGCTCAGGTCAGTTGGGAAATGGAACAGTGGCCTTCCACCTGGATCCAGCCCTGCCTGGGCAGCGTGGACTGCTGTACCAACCAGCTGACCCAGAAATGGTTATCTAGAGTCCATCGCTATCACTTCCAGTGCTTAATTACTACAATATCAACTACCGCACTCTTATACAATGAATGCGTTTCACTTGAAAAATATTCAAAACTCTGGAATTACAACATCGCTATAGACTAAAGGTCTATACGAGGGAGTGATTCTTCTTTTTCCTTCCTAGTTTTTTCTTCTACCTCATTTTCCTCCCTTCCTTCCCACCTTTTTCTTCCATCATCCTAATCATCACCATAGAACAACACACAGCTGAATTCACACAGGCAGGGCAATTAATACATATTAATACATTAGAAAATTTGTGAGATAGATGTCATCCCATGTCCCATGTTATATATCTGGAAATAGACCCAACTCCCAGAGTTAGACTATTAGGGAGCTGGGTTTCCTGTACAGCCAGAGCAAATCCAAGGTTTCTTCTTCTTCCTACTTTTTTAAAAAGTATTTTATTTAACTTTATTTATTTAATTATTTTCGAATAATATTTTCTATTTAATTTTTTTTCTTAATTTTAACTTCATTAATTTAGTTGAATTTGACTAGAGAGAGACAGAGTGAGAGAGAGAGAAAGAGAGAGAGAAAGCCATCAGGTCTGGGACTCGAACTGCAGTTGACCATGTGGGAGTCTAGTGCCATTGACCACACCACTTGCTGGCCCCTATTTATTTATAATTAATGTGACCAGAGGAGGGGAGAGGGAGATGGAGAGGGAGAAGGAGAGGGAGAAGGAAAGGGAGAGAGAGAAAAAGTGAGAAAGCAAGCTGCCAGGTCCAGGACTAGAACCACAGTTGCCTATGTGAGAGTCCAGCACATTCAACCACCACGCCACCTGCCAGCCCCTCTTCTTTTTTCTTAGGGGTCTAAACCCTCCTGCCTCAGCCTTCCGAGTAGCTGAGACTACAGGAGTGCACCACGGTACCCAGCTTTTAATGTGGGTCAGAAAGAACACTGGAGCCTCATGTGACTTCCATCACCCATACTGCCACAGCTGGCCTAGGGTTTGTTTCTTTAATCACTAAACTTGATCATTCAGCCATATTTAAGAAAAGAATTTAACTCTGTAGGTAAGAGTTTCCAGTCAGATAAACAGTTCCATCTCTTCTGGCCATTGAAACACTAATTAAGTAATAAAATATTGGCACACAGATTACCAGATACTAAATATTTACTCAGTCAAACAAAAGGCTGCCAGCAGTGTGTATATCTCTCAATGCAATTTTAAGTGATTTTCCTTTATACAGTATAAAAGTGGATATAGCAATAGACTACTCAGAATCACTCCTGTATCTTTTTTCTCCCTATAAAATAAGATGTAGGAAATCTTCCCAACTCAGCTAATTTAGGAAAGTAGCGGGAAGACAAATTGAGGTCTGAGAAATTTTGGAAAATACTGAACTGCATAAAAAATATCTATATACTTAAATCCAAAAGGTGGGACTGGCAGTTAGTGTAATGGCTATGTTGCTGGACTCCCATGTAGCTGACCGCCGTTCGAGTCCCAGACCTGGAGGCTTATACTCACGCCGGGCGCGTGTGCGTGCGTGCCCAAGCTCCCGAGAGGAGAATGGAGGAGAAGGGATTGCGGTGTGGCCATCCCCCCATGGGGGTGATCTCTCACTTTCTATCTCTCTGTCTCTCTCTGTCTTTCTGGCAAGAGCACATGCCCTATAGCAAAAACAAAACAAAACAAAGCAAAACAAAAAAACCTCTCCAAAAAAAAAAATTAAATAAACCCAAAAGGTAACAATAGCAGCAAAAACAATTATTTTACCATGGGTGTTTCCTTTAGAGAATAAATAATCTACAAGTTTCTGGTAGAGCTGAGAGGAAATTATGCAATAAAGCTTTCTGAATGTCTACTATATGTTAGGCCCTATAATTCAGTGACCAGACATTCCAAAAGGGTCATGTTATAGTCTGAATGTATTCTCCCAAAATTCACATGTTGAAATCTAATCACCAATACGGAGGTTAATGGGTGGGACTTTTTGAAAGATGATTGGGTCATAAAGGTGGAACCCTCATAAATGGGATTAGTGTCCCAATAAAATAGGCCCAGGAGAGCCCCTTCTGCCACACACAGACCCAAATAGAAAATACTTTCTATGAAACAGGAATTGGATTCTTATCAGAATTCATCTGTTTTTGCCTTGATCTCAGACTTCCTGGCCTCCAGAACATTGAGAAATAAATTTCTGTTGTATATAAGCCACTCAGTTTACGATATTTTATTATGGCAGAGTCTGAATGGACTAAGACATCTCATAATTGCATTACATATTTTGAATGTACATTAATACTTCTAAATTGTTTAAAACCACTTGCAGTAAATAAGCATTCAGCAGCATCTTCAAGTGTTTTTTTTTTTTTTTTTTTTTTAAGCACTTGGGCTAACCTGGGTCAGCGTGGTTTCTCAATCTTGTATATATTTGTTTACTGAACAAATTCTTTACTTGATCCTGTTTGGTTCTGAACAATCAAAATTGAAATCATCAGACACTAAGTTGGTGAGGCTTTCCTACTATTATTAAAATTCCACTCTGTCCTCTGTATCCTTTTTTTCTTGGATGTACCAGAGTCTAGTGAGGCATTTTATTTGTATGTGCGTATTACATCCCTAGAAAAGGAATCCCAGGACTTTCCCTCCTGTACGTTTCCATCTTGCTTCTACATGGTCCATGATGCCAGCTGAGGTTGTCAGCGATGGGAGCAGATTATTCTGTATTCTGCCATTTCTTTAGATCTTTGAGTTGCACAGCAAATCTGGGGCTGATCACTCCACACTTGTTTAACCTGCCAGTGAGGTTCGCAACAATTTTTCTTACTCTGTGGCCATCAATGATTTCAAATTTGCCAATGGAACCAGGCTTCATCATCACAGTTGGAAACTGGACAACGACTTTGGAGCACGGCCTAATAAGAACCTGGAGTTTGCCTCTCTTCTCAGCACTGTTGATCCTCTTGAGGGTAGCAGCCAGGACATTCATGCACACCATTATGGCGGCACAGTAAGATGGCGGTAAGAGCCTGTCCTCTGTATTCTAAACAATTTCAAATCATTCTTTTCCTTACTGAAGGAGAGATCTATTTCCCAGCCATTTTATCGCATTAAATGATTTCCTTTGGGTCCTATTCAATATTCTTTTTGTTCTCTTTAAAATGGGATGGCCTGGTTTGGGTAATAAAGGCCCCATAAATGCTGAAGTATCTAGCATTGTTAATAACAGCATTTTCAACCACAGTCACCACCAGGTATTAGAGACAATTGTTAAGTGCTATATGCATCTTCACATGTAAGCCACAAATTTATGTGCAGTTTCCATGCCTAAATGCATTACTTATGTACACTTCTCTTAATGGGTATCATATTAATTTCTTGAGTGGCTGATGTTTCTGCAAGTCTGTTCAAGTTTTCATCATCTAACTCTAATTTTTCAACCTCAGTGACAGGAAGGGCAAGAAAACAAAACAACGACAACAACAAAAATTGATTGGAATCTTACGGAGAAGTCAACGTGAGTAAATATGAAGGGTCTGTCTTGATATACAAATACATTTAAGGAGGGAGATTTTTCCCTCTAGTAGTCAGAGTGAAAATCTGGAAACCAGAATGTGCCACTGAATGGGAGAAAATGGAGCCAGTGCAGGATTTCTTCAGGAACACAGTAGCGAAACCAAATGAGGCTGAAATGATGATGTGGGAAGGAATATTTCCATCATGTGAGTAATGCCCACACCTGGGAATAAAGCTACTCCCTAACCTTAGGGTCCCATGGTCTCACCGATAGTAAGTCATGAGAAAGCTAAGAATAATGATGCTCACTCTCATAAAATAGCAGCTAATGTTCTTTCAGTCCTTATTCTATGCTCAAGAGCATACTGAACACTTTCATTTTTGAAAAACCACAGTGAATGAGGGAGGTGCTCCATCATCCCGTTACAGATGATAATGGAGGCCCTGAGGGAAAAGAAACAGCAACATTTAACACACAAGGTCAAGTATGTCACATAATAACTTGTCATTTAGTCAAAGAACAGGGAAACAACCACATTCCACTGCTGATAAGGCAGGGAAGGCTACAGACAATTCCCATTCTGATTCGCTTACGCCACAAAGGCCAGCAGTTGAGGGATGGGTAAGTGCAGAGCCCACAACACATTTCAACTCTGAATTTCTCACCCACTTAGTGTGAAACTCCTAAAAATACCCTGAGTTCTGCTTTTCTGCTTATGCTTTGATGAAGACATTCATGAGTCAGCAAATATACCAACTGAAGGTTTTAGGAGCAGTTAGAAGGTTCCAGTACCTTCATATACAGGATAATTAGCTCCAGTAAGGGAAGAATTTTTGTCATTGGAGTATAAATACTGGCCCCAATGACCAATCTTGTCATGTGAAATATTAAAAGTAAGTAATAGGAGAACCTCACAGTGAAAAGAATCATTACAGAAGGAACATGTATTTTCAGAATAGACAGTGATTTTGTTAGACAAACCAAAGAGAAAATGATCTCATACCAATAACAACATCTCCACAAAGACCTCAGATTTTAGAAAAGCAGATCTCACTTACCTGATGAAAACCAGCTTAACCTTGGACGGGGCAGTCTTAATAATGGCAGATGCATTTTGGTGACTTCTTCCATACAGGATTTGATTGTTTATCTGTTTGGGAAAAAGTAAAATGTACTTGTAAAACTACAATAGGTAGGGACCAGCAGTTGGCGTAATGGCTATGTCACTGGACTCCCATGTAGTCGACCACGGTTTGAGTCCCAGACCCGGTGGCTTAAACACACGCAAGGTACGTGTGCATGTGTGCCCAAGATCCCGAGAGGAAAATGGAGGAGAAGGGATTGTGGCATGGCCATCCCCCCGGAGGGGTGATTTCTCGCTTTCTGTCTCTACCTCTCTCTGTTTTTCTGATGAGCACAGAGCAAAAACCTCTCCAAAAAACCCCCCACCAAAACAAACAAAAACTACAATAGGTATGTTTTATATAACAATATATATGCACACATTTGTACATGTATATATGCATGCATATACACATATACTAGCTATTAAACAATAAAGTCTATTAATTTTTAGGTGGGTATGCTAATGCTAAAAATCTTGGTATTTTCAGTAGTACAGATTTAAACAATAATTATAAACAGCTATTAAAAATCTCTTAAATTCAGTTTTTACTACAGAGACATATGATTCTTGAACCTTCTGCTAAACTGCAAGAGAGCAGTCATTGAGCTTGATGCAAAAACTTTATAGGTATTTCATTTTCTCCAACTTTTCCAGATTCCTACAAAATGTAGAAAACAGACCAAACTTTGGTATTCACCAGAGCTCTCGCAGGCCCATTAAACATGATTTTGTGAATGTGTCAAGGTTATTACATAGCATAAATTTTGTTACTCCAGTGGAGGTAAATACTATATCCCTCTTTGAAGTCAAATTTTAGATCAATTGTACAGAAACATTTTACACAATCAATAAACCATCTGCTCACATTCAAGATGTGATGGGATTTCTAACTTAATTTGAATCACCTAAATATGTTCTAAAAACAGTTACATTCTAATTTTTTTCATTCCAGATTTTCTCACTAATAAACTATGATGACAGGTATAATCAGTCTCTTATTTTCCTTTATCCAATTGATAACAGCTTGTACAGTGTTGGCTTTCCTTTCCATTTCTTTAATAAGAGTTAATGTTTATACTATACTATCCTATTTAACTGTGGCCTTGATCATTTCCATTTAAGAGATAGTAGTGTTTACTGGGGCCGGCAGGGGGCGTGGTGGTTAAAGGCGCTGAACTCCCACATGGTCGACCGTGGTTTGAGTCCTGGCCTGGGACCCTTGCTTTCTCTCTGTTTCTCTCTGATCAAATTGAAAAATAATGATAATAAATAATTAATTCTTAAGAAGAAAAAGGAATAGTAGAGCGTACTGTACAATGGACAGTAAAATGCCTTTTGCATCTAATTTGCCTGTCCTCAGTGTCTTTGACGATTTGCATTTGAAGACATTCCTGAGAAAGGTACCTCTTCTGTCACAACAGTTACCATGAGAAAGTCTATGGACGTGAATACGCCAAAGGATGGAATGAAAATATATTATTTTTAACTGTCTTAAAAGAAGCTTATCCATCGCTTTGCCTAACAGTGGTTGAACTGAGATTCATATCCAAATTCCAGTTACTTCCTTACCCTGCCTCTCATTCTACTAACGTCTGTTCTTCACCAAGCTCATCGGTCTCACAGAAATCCACTCATCTTGGCACATTTCTCTGTGCCTCAGTTTCCTCTTTAAAAGGAATCTTGACATCCACTTTGCAAAGCTGTTGCGAGAAATAAATAAGTCTTTATTTATGATGCTCTTCATACCCAAAGGATTTTTTTTTTCTTTCAATTTTTGCTATAGGGTGCCTATGCTCGCCTGAAAGAGACAGAGAGATACAAAAGGGAAGTGAGAAATCACCCCCAGGGAAGTCAACCAAATTGCAATCCCTTTTTCTCCATTTTCTTCTTGGGATTTTGAGCATGCACGTGGCTTTTTTTGTCTTTCTTTTTTTAGCTATTTTTGCTATAGGCCGCATGTGCTGCTGAAGAGACAGAGAGACAGAAAATGAGAAATCAATCTCCAGGAGAGATGGCCATGCTGCAATCCCTTCTCTTCTATTCTCCTCTCAGGATTTTGGGCACACAAGCACACGCACCCAGAGTAAGTTTCAAGCCTCCAGGTCTGAGACTTGAACTGTGGTCAGTCACGTGTGAGTCCAGCGATGTAACTATTACACCATCTGCTGGTCCCCATGCAGCATATTTTTTAACACACTGAGTCCAGGACTTGAATCTCACAGTCAGCTATGTGAGATTCAGCACCTTAACCACCATACCATCTCCTAGCCCCACCTGAAAGTTTTTTTTTTAAATTTTTTTAAAGAGAGATTTTTGCTAGAGGCTAATGTGCTTGCCAGAGAAACAGAGACAGAAAGTGAGAAATCGCCCCCTGGGGCGGGGGCACACCGCAGTCCCTTCTCCTCCATTCTCCTCTCGGGATTTTAGGCAAGCACACACATGCACCTGGTGTGTTTTTTAAGCCATCCAAGACTCAAACCATAGTCGGACTATGTCCAGCGATGTAACCATTATGCCATCTGCTGGTTCCAGATTTTTCACTTTTCTTAATTAGCAGAGGGCATATGCATTTGCCAGAATGAGACAGACAGAGAGAGGAGAAAGCATCTCTCAGTGGGACAGGTCGTGTTGCAATCCCTTCTCCTCCATTTCCCCACCCTTTTGGAATTTTAGGCAGGCATAGACACATGCCTGATGTGTTTTTCAAGCTGCTCCATCTGGGATCTGAACTGTAGTTAGCCATGTGGGATCTAGTTCTCTTAACCAACAGACTACAGGCCCAGCCCAATATTTTACATTTTTATATATTCAAAAACAACTTATTGTTTCTGTAAAATTTTCTGCTTTTAATACTATGCATTTAAAAATGTGTTTACCTTCTAGATTATGTAATTTCTCCTAATATGTTCATGGCTTAATTTTTCTTCTGTCTGTTTACCTAACTTCATTGTAAGGGAAATAGTTAAAGATATCATATAGTTAGGGTGGCTCCATGGCCTGGTGGTTAAGGCAGCCAGGTCCTATCTGGCTGACTATAGTTCAAATCCCAGACTGGTGGCTTGAGAAACATGCATGTGTGCCCAAAATCCCCAAAGGAGGGCAAGATAGAGAAGGGACTTCAGCATAACCACTTCCTGTGGGGAATGTTTCTTCCTCCTCTCCCTTGAGAGTGCGTATTCCTTTTTGGAGAAAAAAAAAAAGAAGAAGAAGAAGAAAAAAAAAGAGAGAGAAAGAAAAACCCCAAATAACATAGTTATTAAAAGTAATGTAGGGGTCAGCAGGTGGTGTGGTGGTTGGAGCACTGGACTCCTACGTGGTCAACTGCAGTTTGAGTCCTGGACCTGGTGGCGTGCTTTCTCACTTTCCCTCTCTCTCAGTCTCTCTCTGGTGGGTGTATGTGTCCTATAACAAATTAAAAAAATAAATAAATAACATTAAATAAAATAGTTCTAGAAAAAATTTTTTAAAAAAAGCATACTTGGTGACATAGGAAATGTCCAAATGCATTCAGTTGCAAAACCAGATGATAAAATAGTATTTCTAGCATGATCATGTTTTTTGCTAACCATATCTTGACTCTCTTTAATTTGTAATTAACTACAAATAAGGATCTTTAAATCTTATTTGGAAATGAGATGATGTGTGGAATGAGCCTGATTCAATGCCAGGCACTGAGGCAATTATTTGCTAATGTCTTCCCCATGTGCCTGGCTTCCGTTTCCAGGAAGCCTGTTCTAAACCTCTTGTCTTTAAATCCTCACAGTAGGTTTAAAATGTTTCTTTTCTCTTCTCTTCCTTCTTTCCTCCTTCTAGTCTTTTCTTCTATTTCGCCTTCTTTCATCTTTTTCTCCTCCTTTCTCTTCCTTTCTTCCTTCCTTTCTTGAGAGTAAGAGACAGAGCAGAGTGTAAGAGACAAAAAGAGAGAAAGAAGGACGCACCCTCGGCAGAATTTCACGCTGAGACCGTCCCCAGCCTCCCCAGCCAGCTGGATTCGTGGGTGCATACAGGTCAACCAGGAAATCAAACCCATGATCTTCCAGGTGGGTCTAGCTTCAACAGTGGGTTACTACCACTGACGCCCAGCTGGCTAAACTTCCCTTACTGCATTTACACCCAACATGACGCGGTAAAGTCAATCCTTGTCACATGGTAAACATCATTACTCAACTGAGCTAAATTCTCTGAGGGCAGGAATCAGCATCTTCCTCCCGGTATTTCCCATCTTTTCACGCTGAGAACTGTTCATAGGTGTCATGCATCCTGATCGCAGTGGTGCTCCGTGAGGATGTGCTGAATTGCAGGGCCGTAATGGAAGTTGGCACTTAATCAACCGTGAGCCAGTTTTCTCTGACACAGGCTCCAGTCTTCAGTGATTGAAGACTTGAACTGTGGTCAGTCACGTGTGAGTCCAGCGATGTAACTATTACACCATCTGCTGGTCCCCATACAGCATATTTTTTAACACACTGAGTCCAGGACTTGAACCTCACAGTCAGCTATGTGAGATTCAGCACCTTAACCACCATACCATCTCCTAGCCCCACCTGAAAGTTTTTTTTTTAAATTTTTTTAAAGAGAGATTTTTGCTAGAGGCTAATGTGCTTGCCAGAGAAACAGAGACAGAAAGTGAGAAATCGCCCCCTGGGGCGGGGGCACACCGCAGTCCCTTCTCCTCCATTCTCCTCTCGGGATTTTAGGCAAGCACACACATGCACCTGGTGTGTTTTTTAAGCCATCCAAGACTCAAACCATAGTCGGACTATGTCCAGCGATGTAACCATTATGCCATCTGCTGGTTCCAGATTTTTCACTTTTCTTAATTAGCAGAGGGCATATGCATTTGCCAGAATGAGACAGACAGAGAGAGGAGAAAGCATCTCTCAGTGGGACAGGTCGTGTTGCAATCCCTTCTCCTCCATTTCCCCACCCTTTTGGAATTTTAGGCAGGCATAGACACATGCCTGATGTGTTTTTCAAGCTGCTCCATCTGGGATCTGAACTGTAGTTAGCCATGTGGGATCTAG